ATTTGGGCACATTGTCTTGGAATGGGCCCTGAAACAGTGTGAACATACATGCATTAACCTGCAAGAGCTGAAACCACAATTGCCCGTGTTAAAATTATTGCAAACTTGGGATTTGCCTAAAAATACAATATCCCTGCCCAGTTTGTCTTTTAAGCCTCTAGTAGGTCTTTGGAAGTTAGAAGCCGGTTGGTTTTGTTCAATTTCAGCCAAATTTGGGCAGAAATTGGTGCTATGCGTTGCCGATGCACACACTGCACAAGCTGGGGGTCTGAGGCCTGCAAAGTGCCTGCAGAATAGCTCCGTGTCCAATTTGTTCCAGTTTATGCTTAAATTGAACTGAGCCAGAGCCGCAGCCACCTTTGCAGAGAAGGAACGGTGGTAATCGTAAAAAGCGGTACCACCATATTTGTGCCCCAGATCTACCATCTTGTGCATGTATGCATCCAACTCTGCTCTTTTCTCAGGGTAAACTGAGCAGTAGACATCTCTATAAATCCCAAACCCCAACACGAATTCAGGGATGGTCAATTTCTTATTCAGCCGGGGGTCTCTAGCCCTTAGTACTACTGAAATATCCCCGTATGCAAAGGTCCTGTTCTCTAGGACATCCTGGGAGGCAATGAGCAATGAGACCAGGTTAACGTCCTTGCCTTGTCCTTTTTAAGGTGAGATGGGACCATATGCGAGGGATTCATTGATTCTATAACCGCCATAGATTCAAAGGAATTACCAGGCATAGTATTAGTGAGAGGATGACTGGTGACCGTAGTATTGGTAGTGGACTGATTAGCACAACCAGCCTCCAATTTATCCAGCCTGTCACTTATTGTGCCAATGAATGCCATTAGAGATGTCATCATGGCATGAAAAGCTGGTAATTGAGTCCCACTAGGGCCTTCCCCTGCCTCGGAGTTGTCGGTGGTAGTGTTCAGTAATCTAAACAAGTCCGCCTTCCTAGCAGTAGCTGGGAAAGGGATGCAGCGTCTTCTGAGTTCTGTGTGAGACGTGGGATGGTCCATGATTTAAGGGATGAAGGGCTATTCACATCTGTACCAGGAACAGGGGTACCAGGCCTAGCGGGTGTGCTGGGTAGTTAAAGTTCCTCAGGGATATCAGGAGTTAGTGACATAATTGAAAAATATAAAAGTTGCTTAATCAGTCATATGTTATGAATTTGGGTGGGTACTGGTGGGGCTAGCTAATACCAAGAGGTGAAACAATTATGCTTTGTGAGCGTGACAGATGAGTCCCTGCTAGTTGCCAAGCGACCTGAGAGGCACTATCTATGCGTGGGCCCGAGGGGAAATTGAGGCCACCGAACGTTGTGGCGGGGTGTTGGCCTCTCGGTGTCAATTAAAGCATAAGAAAGAATGGGAGTGACAGGTGAGGCCCTATCTTTGCAACTGTGCGAGGCGGCTAGCTATGATTTGGCCCGAGGGGCGTAGTACCTTTCGAGTATGAGGATGGGGATGTTGGCCTCGCGAGACCACTAGACTATGGATTAAGACCAGAAATGTTTTTATACCTAATTGGGTCACGTAACCTAGGACGTGACCCAATTAGAACATAGAAAGTACCACTCAGAACATAGAAAGTAATGGGTTCTGGCGTAGTACCTGATATGTGAGTCAGGCCGAGCTGTCAATGTAGAGGTAAACAGCGACTGTAATCGTATCGAGATGTTGACCTGTGGACATGAGATTTGATATATAAACGTCTGAATGTAAGGTAGTAGTTTGGCCAAATCGTAGGCCCTAAAAACCAGAACCTACCCAACACTCTGCAGAGGGTAGATTTAAACGAAAAGAAGATGACGGCTTCCGTGCTGTAAAAGCTACCGTCCAATGTATAATAACCTAAAAGAGTAAATTACACACTTAACTAATTTAATATGTATCATTGGCCTTCAAAATTGAATCATAATTAAATTCCAACTAACCTAGAAAGTAAATACAATTGACACAGGTGTCAGAAATTACAATTCCTAGCACAAACCCCTGGTATGAACCTGTGGGAAAAGGTCAGGAAAATCAGGACACATCATCCAGGTTTAAACATTTATATTTACTTTAGTAGAATTTTTATAAGTGACTGTAATAATGTTTGTAACCAGTAGGAGCAAAATCCCCTGGAGTACCAGTTGAATTCGTGCCTATTTCGTGAGTTGTTGTAATCACCGAAAGAACGAGGTAGAGTGTTGAAACATACGAATGGATACATCCTAAGTGTAATTCGAAAACCGAATGGAAAATTTACATGTATATAACCGAATGATAGCGTTCGTTAGATTAAGAAATGTGAAACATGCGTGTAGATAAGGGAATTTAGCCGAACGGCATACTGTACGAAAAGGAAAAAAAACGAACGCTGGTTCAAATGAACGGGACTCCGCCGTGTAAAGCTAGGAAGTTTGCGGCGGTTGCTTTACTGCGGACCTGACTAACGGTTTTTCGCAGTGGCAAAGTAACGAACAAGCTGTGTGGACGCCGGCAACGGGAAGGAGAGCCTGGGAAGCACCGGACCAGGAGATCACGAGGAAACAGGTAAGAAAATCCAAGATGGCGATCTGAACCGGAAGTAAAACGTTTCAGACTTGCCAGACCAGCAACGGTAAAGTGGGAGTGGATTGGCAGCCCTTTTAAAGGGAATTCAAGCCCCTCCCACAACTACAGGCCAAGCCTTCAAATATATAATAATGCCGCCCCTGTAAAATAGCTGACGTTCAGCGTATCCACACTCTGCATGGAGACACTGAACTTTTCCCATAGAGATGCATTGATTTGATGCTTCTCTATGAGGAGATTAATTGGCCAGGGTGGCTTTTGGCCTGTCTCCTTGGCTGAGATCATCAGAATTGACAATCTCAGCCAATTCAATGCTTTCCTATAGAAAACCAATTCTGATTATGTCAGCCAAAGAGGCTGATTGGGGGTGGGGCCAGATGAAAGGAGCACCGTGTGGCGCTGGAAAAAGGTGAGTAAATCACCTTTCTAAGCCTAAGTAAGGGGGACGACCACCTAAATAGTGGTCTTAGAACTATAGTGTCAGGAATACATATTTGTGTTCCTGACACTATAGTGCCTCTTTAATTTTGCCTTTTGGATTTTAATTCACTACAATTGAGAGATTAGTAATTAAACCCCAT